ACGTTTCCTGCGTTCTTGGGCGTCCACCCACTTCTGATTCGCAGGATTCGATAGCAAACATCTCTTCATGATGCCAAACTAGAGTGCGGACTCCGTGGTGATTTTTTTGTTAAGCAAAAATCACCTTAATGTTAAGAGGTGAACGAAAATCAGAAAAAGGTGATCTGAGTGGCTTTTATTTTGTGAAGTACGGTAAGTAAAAGTGGATGATATAGTGACCAAGAGACAATAAAATTTTGATTCATAAGATATCTAGTGACGATTTATTTGATCAATCAGAAATGAAATCAGGGGTATTTAATTTTACGAATGTACAAACTCAAAAGTTTAATTGCATAATACATGTCAGACACAAAATAATAAAATAAATACAAAAGCTGGCAGTGCATTTCTGCATGCCAAATGACCCGATTAGCTGGTGTGACTGACTTGTCGCCGATTCTTCTTTCTCTTAGCCTTGAAAACATTTCTTTAGATAAAGTTTCATCTTTGTTAGTTGTCAAGATCCGTTCAACGCTATTACATATCCTCGTTAACAATCGCTTATGGGTGAGTAGAATGTCTTGGTCACAATAGAATGTCTAATTAATTGTCGCTCCTAGTGTGTAGTTATATCTAAGGTGCGAATCACAGACGTCACAGACTACTGCAGACACAATGCAAATGGCGTTTGTCAGATCCTGATATCCACTGAAAATGGCGATATATGGCTCGTGACGTTGCCGAAGCAATTTCAGCCTGCGATGGGATGTGTGGTGACCAAGCTCTTTCTAGAAAGGTCGTCGGATCAGAATAATGACGGAGGTGTTCGGTGGATTGGTTTAGTGCCGGGAGTGCTGTCGGTATTACACACACCAGCTGATAATGGAGTGCTGTCGCTTACGTTATTTAGGAGCATGGTAACGCCGACCACATTATATGTAAATACTTGTGAAACACTTGAGCGACAAATGCCGAGTCACCAGTTAATAGAATTGGATGATATCGAAGGAGAACAAGCTACTTGTAATTTATGTTTGATTGGTCGGGTAGTAAGCCATACGGGGCTGCTCTGTGGCTTGTTTCCAGACGTAGTGAACGATTCTAATGTGGCAGCTATTCTCCAGGGAGATCTTGATTGTTGTGTGCGATTTGCATTGATACGATTTTCGAATGCGAACGGCGATTGTGCAAATGCGTCTGTGATTCGCAGCGAAACACTTCTACGGTTGCGTGAACCCATTCAAGCAATCATCCCATTCTGTACTAGTTCTCCACGTTCAAACGAAGATATTGCAACGGTAGATTCTCAACAATTTGATGCACTGCTAGTTTTAAGTGTCCGAGGTAGGATTGGCGTGATCAGTACGAAAGATCGCAGAGCTCTCGAGACCTTTCCAGTCGCTGTGAACACCCTGGAGCTTGGACGCTCGGTACAGTCTATAGTTTTTGTGCACAGTTTGAGAGTGTTTATTTTTTGCTCGAGTGGATCAGCTTTCATGTTTCGAAGTATTGATCTTTTAGCGAAAGCCGAACTCGCAAACTCTAACGCTGTACCAGCCTCAACGACTAGATGCACTCTCCCAACAAAGAAACTACCCCTTCAATCAGTAAGTGCTAATATCTTACCTTAACGTTACTATTACGATAATGTATTCACGAAACTTGCGAAACATGCAGGGTATTATACACCTGGCAATTCATGGTCGTAATGGTGGCATGTCGATCCTCTTTGCGTCAGGACGGACAACACATTTTGACAAGAAGGCGCTAAACGATCTAGTGACTAGTATTTTGCCCTGTTTCGAGCGAGAACATGTCCCGAATCGTGGTCACACAGCAGCGGTCGAGAAACTATCAAGTGAGTCTCAAATTCGAGAACTTGTGCATCGTATTGCTCAAGTCACTGCCGAGTCTTCTGATCTCCGTACAAAATCGAAGCAAATGGACGTGTACCTGAAGGCTTTGCACTCTGCTTTGGAAATTCTTCGAGCTGTCGGAGCTGCAGGTTTTCTCGTTCGTGTGTGATGCTCGTAATAGTTATGTCAGCTCTGAGTAAATGTGCCTTTGCAGGTGTCGAGTCTGTGGTTAATAGCGAAATTAGAGCCAATGTAGTCAAAACAGGTACCTTTTTGGATCGGCACACAATTCAATTGACCTGTTCACTTCGTTTCGTTGATTCTGACCCTAGCATCTCACTTGACGAATGGTAAATGCCTTTATCAATCTTACGTAGGTGAACCATCAAATTTTGTCGCTAATTTTCGTAAATTCAGGTCATTGTGTCTGTATGTGCGTGCCCTCGATCGCGAAGTCACGTCGTACTCATTTCCGCTGAAAAATATAGCAGCACATGGAAAACAGCGTATTCTTCTCGATCCGGATACACTTGCACAGCAAGACCAGGGATTTCTATGGGTTTCGTGCTCTATGGTATTTTGTCTATCTCTAGACGGAATATCATGTCATCAACATCCTCAAACGAGCTCAATCGACTCCCAGGCCATTCACAAGGACAATTTGCTCGCATTTGCTATCCCGCTGATTCAGAATAAAAGATTCCTACTTGCACAGCTAAGTCAGCCCATCGAGGATGAAATGTCAGCTCGTCAAGGTGAAATTCATGCTGCTTTTTGTCAGCGACATGTGCCGTTTATGCCAGTTGGCAAGACAGAGACGCAGATGTCGAACCTTTGGGCTGGTGTGCACTCGTGGGCTGCACTTGCTGACCATGCTCAGAAGACGCCATCGTTCGCTGCATTATGGTCGAAAATTGCGTCGTCTAATGTGGCAATGGCTCCACCATCCCGCTTTGTGGTTACAATCCCCTCATTTTTCGACACTGAAGACGATGAAAATGAGGACGATGGTGAGGATGAAAAGTTTGAAACGAATTGCATAGAGAGAATGGTGTCATTCCTGCGTCAGCTGCTGGACACACCCACTTGTGATATCCCACGATTGCGTCGCAGCTGCCGAACACAACATGGGAGTCTCTGGACAATGCTACAAGCTTTTTCGGGAAGTCTTGTTCTCCTACGTTTTACACCTTCAGAAATCGAACCCCAATCCGTTGATTTGACGATTCAATGTTCTGACGTGGCTGATCTCTCTGCAGTAGGTCTTCCCATCATTGTAGCTAAGCTAATATCTAAGATATTAATCAATTTATGCAGATGCGAGCTCTTGTGCTTGATATAATCAACAAATGGAGCAGCGGAGATTTAAATCGACTGAGTGAAGCAGACTACCCCGACAAAGTATACTTGGATTACAGCGAAATGGCGGAGCCTATTGCAGTTCTTGAAAAGTTGATGGAGGTTCGGGGCCACACACACGAAACTAATGTGCCATTTGTTAACCATGTGCATTGCATTGTTTGATAGGACCTGGCCTTAAAGATCACAACTTTTGAAGATCCACGCTCTTCTACGTGCACAGACGATGTTCTTCACGCACTTTCACAGCTAGCGCACCTGGAGACTCAAACGTTTGCTCTGTACTGGAAGTCAAGGGCTCACATCAACATGGCGAACCTATAGCACTTCATTCTTGGAGCTGTTTGAAAATGATAGATCTTAAGCATGGTCAAGTTTACTTTATCACAGCATAACACATCCTAAAATTCAATCTGCCACTTTTTCGGATAATTAGTCACATTCGAGATTAATGCAAAAATGAACAGCTCTTCAACCACGTAGAGATTGACTTTTGCTTAAAAGATTAGCGATCTGTGCTTGAGTGCAATAACGATGAGACCTTGGCCATACCGGCAAGATTTATACAGTTGTTGCCTTGACACTGAAGAAAAAGCACTTAATCAGGATGACGAACAACTCATACTCAACATTCCGTATGATATCATCATCAAGTGACAAAGAGAAAAGAGTTTGAGTTATTTCAGTGCACATCAACGACTTCGAGAGAGCTATGAAGTCTACTACGGCGATAGTAGAGCGATTGACCGTAGCGTAAATATAATGCTCATTATTCTCGGATACCAATTGATCGCTGGTTCGATTCCGGCCACTCGGACTTGAGTTGCAACTTGTAGCTGGTCCGTTCTAATCTTTGTTGTAGACGCTTCTTCCGTGTCTGCGACCGTTGACGTCTTAACTCAAGTTATCGATTTCGATGCAGCGATAAATTGGATAAATGATCCAAATGAATTGCAGAGTTTTGATCACGCGAATCACGAATGTCAATTCAAAATAAATATGGACGGCTCTTCCAACCTCGTGTTTGTTTTCCATGATGTCATAAACGCAGTGAAAAACAGAATGGGCTGAAAATGGACAGTCCGTCTCCTGTGAGCACATTTATGCCCAGATCACACCTCTAGCTTTCGTGGCTTATGTGATATATCGATTTGCAGATTTGCCGAAGCAGTGCTGTATGCACCCGTTTAGCGATGGCGTAAAAAAACTCGAAGTCAGTGATGGATCACAATTGTTCACATGGAGATGGTAAGTCATCAGGCACTACATGCCAAAAACAAATTAATTGTTGTAAGAGGGCGCTGTCTACAACGGTCCCTCAAACACAACACACACGCTTGTGCAACGAGGAAGCGATTCCGAACGCTGAGGGGGAAAATAGTCCCGACTTGGAGAGACGAAGAACGACTTGAGGCCTTGAGGGCAATTCTGAAACTGAATGATAATAAGTCAATAGTCCCTAAAGCTACATACAAAGCCTTCCAAGGACCACTAGAGTTTTCACGAGAAAACCTTGAGTTTCTATGTGTTTTATTTATACAATCGAGGGCTCACTGAGGGTGACCATCAGCTTGAAATGCATACAAAATCTTGGGTGTACGGAGCTTAAACTTTGCAAAGTTTATACTTCAGCCTTAGTAAAAAGTTTCAGGCAGAAGTGACTGACTCTCGCCGCCCACTTCAAAAGACAAAGGCACATTGGTATACCACAACTTCTCCCGTTCGCTGATTGACACCACCGCAAATTTATCGCCGACGACAAGAAATCAGTGGCATACGATTTGACAAGAGGCCTCTGGCAGAACTGTCCTATTGCGTTGATGCTTAGCAATTGATATTCTGTATGAATTTATTGCAACGAAGACTCAGTCGCGCGGATTATTGCTCGATGATAACACATCGGAAGCAGTGATTGGTTTGCAGACGATAATACTGTGTACCCCCGATCTCCAGCTACAGCATTCACCCTCAAGATTACCCTGGGATAATTTGCAGCATCGCTGGAACAAGTCGTGATGCTAGATCTGTGTATAGATCTTTTTCTCGTGCTCGACGATTCAGATTGACCACGTGATATTTTTTGGCTTCATATAACCCGTCGACAAAACTCGTTCAAATCCTATGCCATCAGCATTCACACTATCCCTCCAATTGTCAGTGACGCTACAGCAGCTCGGAAACGGCTTCATATCGCAAAATTTTGGACAAGCAAGTTACTCCAGCTAGATCAAGCATTCTGCTAATGATCAAACTCATGTTCACGGCTCGTCATTTTGGTCTACTGCAGCTTTAAGCATCGGATCATCCACAACTACGCAAGGCATGTCACCCTGGTAGATGGAGTCAGTCAATGACGGGCGTGAAAAAGCACAGTAGTGGTCCGCATCTCCCTTCACACGTTAGACTATATTTTCCATATCAAAGCCCATACTTCTGAGTGCCACAACGGTATCGTGGTGGATCACTGTAGCAGCAGCGGTTTGGAATATCGCTGTGAGTTCAGTGGGGTACTTCATACCAGATCGACGGTCAACGGTAGCCGTCAAGATAAATGCAACAGCCATTTCCGCAGGCTTTATGGCACTTCGACAAGCTGCAGCCACACCGCATGGTGAAGACGCTCAGCTATTCCCTCCCGCAGGGAAAACGCCACTTCGGCCGCCGTAGCTCTTTGCTTAGAGAAAGCTTAGGTAAAGTCACGACCCTACATTCTTTCCAAGAACCAGGACGAGAGCAGCGTATCGCAACCCGCTGCCTCCAAAAATACTTAAAACCTTAGCCAAGGTAACGACACTCTCCCGTTCAAACTTGAAATTGTATGTATTTGTTTTAATTACGGCAGAGTCACCAATATCTTGATCCTTAGATTTTCTTAATTAATACCTGATTGATATAGTAATATCTTATTAGTAATATAAAACCTAATTAATGTGCGTTACTACTGGCAATCCTGCCACGTTGAAGCTTCGTTTTACGGTGTAGCCACAGCACTGTGTGATTACACCAACCAGTGTAACCACACCTATGTACAGTCAAACCATCTTGTGCGATTCACCATCTCATACAAGGGAACGTGTAACTCCTTCACGCTATCTCCCATGTAATATCCACAATTCACATACAACGGGCGCCTCATACGAGGCTCGCGTGTCTGAGGCACCATCACGTTCTTAATAACAACTTTAATCATTCTCTACTCTATGAGCCCTGTGTCTACGACACGCAAAACATCCAGCCTAGCTGGTTCCGCCAGCGGGCAAAACACTTCTTCTTCTTCTTTTGCACTGGGTGCGTCTCCGGACAGTACGTCCTCGGCTTCACGAGAAGCACATATCAAGTCTTGGGCAACCGAGCGCAGCACACCGCGCCCGCCCCGGGTGACGGATTTTTTTTTCGAGAAGTTCGAGGAAGTCGACTACCAGTCGGACACTGCTTTCTCAGCATGGGATGACGAGGAGGATGAAGTGCGCCAACACCGCAACGTGAGCCCAACTCAAACCCTGCGAATACTCTTTGTGCAGGAGTCATTGGCGTGTTACGCAGTAATTGCTTCCCGAAACTAGGTCAATCGTATGACGCACATCTCGGTCCGGACGGCGGGTCTTTCGAAACGACGTCTTGGATTTATTTTACCAAAGGATAGTGGGAAACGAGGCATCCTTCAGAATCAATGACCCACTTCGTGCGTTCATCACCCACTTAGCGTCCCCCAGAACAGCTTCATCCAGAAGCAACGACGAATTAATATCCTCGTTCGGTGTAATAATGTCCACCTTGACTTAATTGCCTGCCTTTAAGGCACCGCCAAACTCTTCGAAAGAAATCTCGTCCAGCTCCTGACGGGCTTTCACCGCGGGAACAGCCTCGAGGTGACGTCGCCGTCTTCCTCTCCCGTCGTACCGTTGACAAAGGTATATAGCTGTGCGCTAACGTCTACGGTAGACACACCCCGGGTCAGGGTAGACGCCCTGCGCCTTGCAGATAACATTTGGCTTCGCCGTCTCCTCTCTATAGAGGCTTTCCGTCTCATCGAGACCAGTGGGAACACGCACTCGGCGCCGTCTAGTGTCCCTATCCTTGCCCCATCGGAGCCTTGATATTATTAAAAACATCCGACGAAGAGTTGGTAAATCCGCAGTGTGTAACGTGCCACTCTACGCGCATCACAAGGGCGTCGCCCTTGATTCGGACCTCGTCTGACCATGCCATTCTTGACAAGCAGGGCTCTAACGCCAAGAGTAAATCGTAATGAGTCTCCGTTGGTTTGATTGAGACACTGACGGGAAGATGGGACCTCCCAAACGCGCGGCAAACGCATGCTGGATATGACCGTGAAGATTTCCTTGGGGGTGGCACTGTGAGTCGACCAAAGACCCAGCCGAGACCACCATTGTCTGACTTGGTCCGCAAAGCTTGTGCGGCGGCACGACCACACAATATGTAACGGGGTTACACATACCCTAGTAACAGGGGTGTGTGTCACACCAGATGGGCATGGTGTGACCACACCCAAACAAAAATACGGAACGGGGCTGGATAGCCAGTAGTTATACATGTATTTGATTTTACTATACATATTTAGGAAAATCCTTGCATTAAAAATTAGGCGGCTTTGCCACAGATAAAAATAAATAAAGTCAGTTTTTGAATTTAAACGGAAGAGTTAATTAGCCTTGGGTTAAGGTTGTAATCACTCTTGGAGTAAGCGAATTGCGATCCGCTAACCTCGTACTTGTTCTAAGTATAGAACGAAAGGTCGGTGACCTA